GTGTCCTAGTGTCCTAGTGTCCTAGTGTCCTAGTGTCCTAGTGTCCTAGTGTCTATTTAAAAAAGGTAGAGAGTGTTGCATGGGTTACCGTTGGTGTCCTACTGTCCTAGTGGTATTAGGATTAAACCTTCTAAAACATGCATATATCCGTAGAAGATTAATATAAAATATCTACGCTGAATTAGGGCTTAAAACTGGTATTAATATAAACCTTTTGATATACATTAATCTTGTAGCAAAATTTGGGAGAATTACACCAAGAAAGAACCAATATTTTATATACCAACGTTTAAATGTCCCGCTCGTTGTAATACAACACCACAGGACAAGAACTTGGGCCGCCTGTGGTTTAATTTCATTTCTCTTTCTTAGTCGTTCTTTCTTTTTTCCTTTTTCTTTTTACATTTTTTTCAAAATTCTAACTCAGTCGACTAGGTCTTAGGAATGTTGTTTTTCCGAATGAAGTTTTGGGGTGTATCAAATTGACCAATCGGTGTGACGCCATTATGAGCTCTAGGCCAATTAGCGCTAATTTTCCTATCTGCATCATACCGTAAAAAGAAGGGCCTATATTTTGCTAAACTCCGTGATTCTAATTCCGCCTTTATACAGTAAACCTCGACGCTAACACTTCCTTGAACTACAGGTAAGAATCTTTAATTCCTCTCGAATTTAATACTTCCAAAAATCTCTGTCCCCCTCCATATTCAAAGATTAAAAAAGAAAATGAAAAAGATTAACTAATGCTGAGGAAAGAGTGTAAAAAAGAACAAAATATTGGCTTTAGTTTTCGTTTTAGCTTGAACATCAGGGGCTGGTTGTACGAAGGGTGGATAGCGCTATCCGATAAACAAAACCTTATCCAGTAGGCTTCTCTTGTCCTAAGAAATTTGACCTCTGTTTCTTCATTTGCCATGCAATCTTGTCGAAGGAGCTAATGTGGCGGCGGGCTATACATTACATTGCCTTTGGTAGAACTGATTAACGGTTCTGTTTTACCAGTTACCCAGTATACTGACATACATATCTCAAGATTAGCAACATTAAATAAGAATCGACGCAACTGGTTCCTATAAAATGACTTTTTTTATCCAGTAGAAATTGATGAATAAAATAGCAAAAAAGGTACTGCTGCTGCACTCGAATTAGTAAAATTCGTTTATGAGTTTTTTTTGAATACTTAGACGTTTCTAGGAATCTTGCATTCGATTATAAATTAGGGTGTGCTTGAAAAGATTCATTCGTTAGTATACATTGCTCTAGCTTGTATTATGTTATGGAAAGCGACCAACTGAAAACCAATACAAGACATAATGAATTACAGTTAACTCTTATTCATCTTTGAATTTCTCTTAATGAAGCATTTACAGTTTTTAGTGCAATTTCGGATCTTGATGGATGAATGCGTCCATCGATAGAGGTCAAATCCAACACTTTCTGCTGAAATAGCAGCACAACGGCGTTGTTAGTTATTTACTTCTTGTGCAAGATTATTTTATAGTTTATTCTATTACCGGTGACACTCGTTTGTCTCATCCCTCTGCCTCTGCATTTATTTACTTCCATCTGTTTCCCTCTTTCTCCCTCTGTCTCCCTCTGTCTGTACATCTGCCTCTTCCTAACTTACCTTATTGCAACATACCTTTTCCAAGAACAAGAGGAATAACCTTTTTTTCGTAAATTGAATGTATTCGTTCTCCTTTGCAGACTCGTTTTTGTGACTTTCGAAATCCAAATCTGACCAAAAATGACTCTTCAAAATATTTTTAAATATTCAAAAATATTTGAAGTAACTGAAATATTATAATAATATGTATTAGGCTGAAAATGCTATTTCTATATATTATAATAATATATTTCTATATATTATTACTACTTTACTATTTCTATAAAAACATAATTATAACTTGAAAGTAACATTCCTTTTACTTTGAAAATTATCAAGATCATTCGACTTCCAGAAACTAGCGCCAACAGCTAAACGGTCGCTTTGTAAGATTTTTTTATTTCTAAAATTGTAGAGGGCCACAATAATCCAAATGTGGAAGAATACTGAAATGCCTTATATAAAATTATTAGCTTATCTATAGGTAAAATACATCTGATCCTTCTAAGAGCCATTCCCCTACTAACGTACTTTCATCTTAGTAAAATAAATAAAACTTTATTTCAATCGATGAGACCCACTACCAAACTACCAAAACTGCTTGTGGTTGGTTGCGTAAATTAATAAATGTTTGGTCTGACACGGATGTTCAAAGGTTTCCCAGGCACCCATGCCCTCTCCTCAAAGAAAAGTTGAAAACAAGCCAGCGTGGAGTTTGTAACAAAGGAAGCTGTCTCAAAAAGTTCGAGGAGTGCTTGAGGATTGAGTAATTACTAGTATTAGTTGAAAGTGAAAGAGGAAGCAATCTATAGTCGTGTCAGTCTCGAGTCAAGTTCCCTTGCATGGAATTGGTTCCACAATCAAATCTTCCAGATACAATTTATCGTTAGAACTCGCTATTTACAATTCGTTTTTTGATCAAAATGAAAGACCAAACGATGCTTGTCCGGAGAAAAAAATACTGAACTACCATCTACATTAATTACCTGTCCGTCGTGTTTTGGCATGCATTCATGGTCTCTTTTCGTAGAAAAACCATATTTAATTAAAATACTAGTCTTATAACTTCGATACTTTGAAACGGAATTCAATGTTTAAGGTCTTTGAGTAATAATGTGTGCCGTCTACAACGCGGTTAAATCAAAACTAACTAATAGCCGCTTTATGAATAACACAGCAAACGAAGTTAAGAAATCAACAAGTTTTTCTTATAGTCATTAATACGTTACTAAATTCCTCAAAATACGCCATACATGGGTGGGTAGTGGAAATATTATTGGAAGTAAATTGTTTGTAACAGACTACATTTTGGAATTTTCTTTTTACGCGAGCGAGCCTGACTACTTTGGCAAAGTCTTGCACTTTAATTTTAACAGTAGTATAAGCCAACTTCAGTTTCTCTGGTGTGCGAAGTTTTGATAATACTCTTTTACTTTTGAATTGATTGACGTTATTAATTCAAAAACGTTTTTTTTTTTAATCTAAAATCGTGGGACTGAAAAACTTCTATAGCTTTTGTTATGACTCTTTAGTTATGACTGAGTTTCTAGGCACTTTATCCTGGAAGCTTCTCCTTTGACAATCTTGTACCCAGAGCCTTTGTTTCTTACTGCGCATTCTTAACGAAATTTCGTCGAGCATGCGCAGTAAGAAATAAAGGCTCCAGTTACGGGTACGAGATTGATCCTTCGAGAGAAGCAATACCTCGCGCATGCGTAGGACGAAAGCAAGTTTAACTTGCAAAAGAAAGAAACTTTTGTTGGAATCAAACTAATAAAGCTTTTCTTTCCTTTTCCTCTTTGCATCATCTTCTTGTTTTCCTTTTCGTTTTCGAACTTATTCTTCTTCTTTCCATTCTTCTTTTTTTCTTTTTCTTTTTTTCCATCAGTTACAGTCGAGTCGTTCATCAGACAAGAGAGCCAACAATGAGTGAACCACAGACGACAATAACGGAAGAACCAAAGTCACAGGCGCCACCTGATTATCAGCAGTCTTCTCCAGAACAATACCCCATTCAGGCTCCGCCCATGATGCAGCAAGGTCAACCAATGATGCAGCAAGGTCAACCAATGATGCAGCAAGGTCAGCCAATAATGACGCAGCCAGGTCAGCCAATGATGCAGCAAGGTCAACCAATGATGATGCAGCAAGGTCAAATGGCACCAATGCATTCCCAAACTACCAGCAATACAAACGTGGTAATGATCAACCAGCAGCCTGTTACTGCCCGTGCTGCCCCACGAGAGTGGAGTACGGGATTGTGTGGCTGCTTTGACGACTGTGGCACTTGTAAGTGTACAAACTTTCTTTCTGTACTGAGAACAAAGCACATGATACAGGACGAGAATATACATGGTACATGATGTAGGGCACAGGGAACATGCATGGTACAGGATGTAAGATACAAAGCACAGGGTACAGGATGAAGGATATAGGGTACAGTGTACAGGATGGAGGATATAGGGCACAGCACAGGCTACAGGATGGAGGATATAGGGCAAAGGGTACAGGATTGAGGATATGGGGCACAGGGCACAGCATGGAGAATAAAGAGCACATGGCAAATGGTACAGGATAGAGGGGCAATGCGCACAGGGTCACAGTGGGTACAAGGGGCAGGGTCAAAGTTGGGTTCAAGGGGTGTACAGGTCATAATGTATAGGACACAGGGTACAGGGCAAAATGGACGTGGTACAAACGTAGGGTTAAGGGGAGGGCATCACAGGGCTCATGGTTAGCTATAGGGCTTACAGTTGACCTGTTTTGAAACCAATTATATATCACGAGTTTTTTCTTCGTTTAAGGTTGGTATGCGATTTTCTGTGGATATTATATGTTGTGTGAGATTTCTCAACGTCTAGGAGAGGGCAGATGCTTTGTCTATTTTTGCCCCTTTCCTCTTCTTAGCCTCAGGATAAAATTCAGAGCTGAGCAAAACATCAAGGTATGAATGTTAAAGTGATCTGTGTAAAACCTCTATGGTGTGGATTCTCAAAATCCTTTTTAGGCGTTATCTAACCACTACACGAGGTTTATTAATTCGTATTTAATTTTTATATACATTCATTCGTTAGGGATCTCTGTGCAAAGACTACCTAACAGTTCAATACTGCTACTATTGTGCCTTGTGTCAGCTATCGAGGGAGATTGACCACGTTCAACGCATACAAAGAGTCAATTGAGGTTGTAATAAAACACATGGTAACTAAACGATATTCGCTAATTTTCAGCACTTTCGTTTACAGTCTAGCTTGATAGCAGTTTTATAATCAGCATTTTATTCTATCTTATTTTGAAACTGTTAAATAAAAACTAGGAAGGTTTCTGATGCCGTTCGGTGCATGAGTAATACGTTTAAAGATTGTAGACCATGTGTAATGATAATAGTACATGTAATAACCTTTATCTATGTGTCATAAATATCTAGCTTACATTAAAGTAGGCTATAATAGGTGCTTTGCAACTCAGTAATCACGTGCTTATTAATTCACTGAGAGCAAATGAATGAACATCTTGATTCCCATGGGTGAAATATGCTCAGGTGAGCAAACAAACTTTCTACAACCTGTTTCGAGAGATCGTAATAGAGCTGCATTTCGTAACACACTGGTTACACATCGCTCCATTCAGTTATTAACAAGTAGCTAAAAAGAATCACCGATTTAAAATGAAATAAAAAATTTAAGTTTTGCTCACCAGTACAGACACGTGACCGTTAACTGTAAAGGACCTATTGCATGGGACATCTATCTAAAGAGAAACAAATATGCATAATATAAACATATACAATTATCATATACGGTGCGTTTTTCACGCAGAACTCCGAACCGCCAGCTTCAAGGGAGGAGAACCCGTACCACAACCATCCGGCCCCCACCCGGCCCCCACCCGTCCAAGCGAACCAGAAACCCGCGCGAAAAACGCACCGACACTTTTCTTAATATTAAATAATCAATAAATTCAAAAAACATTTGCTACTTACAATCTAAATCTAAGATGAATAAACCCCAAAAATTGTCTTAAAAACTACAATAGTCATCAGTACTAGGGCAGTCGTGACATTTGTACTTCAGCAACGCTTCAAGATCCTTTCTTCTTATGTTGTTCTTAAAACTATTTAGCGATTTGGAATTTCTTATTTCTTTATCTAATTGGGACCAGAGCATAGAACCAAGGTACTTTTACTCTATGTTTGCCGTAAGAAACGGTATTAAACCCAAAATCACTATTTCTCAGATTATACCTATTATTATATTCTTTTCAAATAATAATTCTTGGACATAAGATGGCCAAAGATCATTTTTAACTTTATACATTAAGATAGCAATGTCCTGTAGACGTCGGTTCTTTATTATTGGTAACTTTGCCAGTTACAATACGTTAGGTGGAGGGGGGGGGCAGGTGAAAATTTGAAATGTCCAGAATAATTCTTANGGCACAGGGCACAGGGCACAGGGCACAGGGCACAGGGCACATGGTACAGGATGTAAGATACCAAGCACAGGGTACAGAATGGAGGATATAGGGCACAGCACAGGATATAGGGCAAAGGGTACAGGATGGAGGATATAGGGCACAGCACAGGGTACAGGATGGAGGATATAGGGCACATGGTAAAGGATGGAGGATACAGACAACAGGGTACAGGATGGAGGATATAGGACACAGGATGGAGGATATAGGGCACAGGGTACAGGATGGAGGATATAGGGTACAGGGTGCAGGATGGAGGATATAGGGCACAGTGTACAGGATGGCGAATATAGCGCACATGGCACATGGTACAGGATACAGGGGCAATGGGCACAGGGTCACAGTGGGTACAAGAGACAGGGTAACAGTCGGCACAAGGGACAGGATCACAGTGGGTACAAGGGGCAGGGTCACAGTGGGTACAAGGGACAGGGACACAGTGGGTACAAGGGAAAGGGACACAGTTGTGTACAAAGGACAGGGTCACAGTGGGTACAAGGAACAGGGTCTCATTTGGGTACAAGGGACAGGGGACGGGTGTACAGGTCATAATGTATAGGACACTGGGTACAGGGCAAAGAGGACATTGTACAAGTAGGGTTCAGGAGAGGGCGTTGCAAGGCTCATGGTTAGCTATAGCTCTGACAGTTGACCTGTTTTGAACCCAATTATTTATCCCGAGGTTTTTCTTCGTTTAAGGTTGGTATTCGGTTTTCTGTCACAAAAATGTGTTGTGTGAGATTTCTCAACGTCTAGGAGAGGGCAGATGCTTCGTCTGTTGTTGCCCCTTTCCCCTTCTTAGCCTCAGGATAAAATTCAGAGCTCAACAAAACATCAAGGTATGAATGTTAAAGTGATCTGTGTAAAACTCTTACTATTGTGGATTCTCAAAATACTTGTTCAGCGTTATCTAACCACTACACGAGGTTTATTAATTCGTATATAATTTTTATATACATTCATTCGTTAGGGATCACTGTGCAATGACCACCTGACAGTTCAATACTGCTACTTGTGTGCCTTGTGTCAGCTGGCGAGGGAGATTGACCACGTTCAACGCATACAAAGAGTCAATTGAGGTTGTACGTCACATAGTAACTAAACGATGTTCGCTAATTTTCAGCAATTTTGTTTACAGTCTAGCTTGATAGTAGAGCAGTAATACGTAATGATTTTTGTCGTTTCTCTGTCAGTTTTATAATCAGCATTTTATTCTATCTTATTTTGAAACTGTTAAAAGAAACTAGGAAGGTAGAGGTAGAGGTAAAAGGTAGAGTGTTTGCATGGGTTACCTTTAGTGTCCTAGTGTTCTAGTGTCCTAATGTATTGTATATTTGAAAAAGGTAGAGAGTGTTGCATGGGTTGCCTTTGGTGTCCTAGTGTCCTAGTGTCCTTTAGTCCTAATGTATATTTGAAAAAGGTAGAGAGTGTTGCATGGGTTGCCTTTGGTGTCCTAGTGTCAGTAGATATGAAGTACCAATTCTACGCCACATGAGTGAGGTTCCATTGAGGTTCCATTGAAGTACCCCCTCCCCTTCAGGATCTTTTCAGAGGTGACGTCATGTCTTACTTCCCCGTGTTTTTAGTTGGCTGGATTGCACCACATACTATATTTTACGTCAAAGTTTAATCCTAATAAAAGTTTCTAATTATTTATAAAAACTACTTTTTCTATCTCAAAACCTTAAAGGCTTAGTTTAAGCTTTTGTTTCACCCTAATTGAGTTCTACGGGTATTGTCCTTTGTCTTACTACCGCGCGTTTTAAGTCATTTCTGTTTTTAGTTGGCTGGATTGTATTATAGTTCTCGCGGCATCTGCTTGGATATTGTCCTTTTTATTGTTGAACAAAACGACAACATCTTTTCCAAACAATCGATAACAAAATCCCTATTTTGAATACTAATGGTCAAAGTATTTTTCCCTAGAATGATCATGTATAAAATAGAGGAACTCTGAATCCTAATCTTTGTTGTTACCATATTTCTTTCAGGGGCTGCTATAGCGCAGGCGGTAAATCGCGAAAATTCAGCTAAAGATAATAAATTCAAATCCTAATGTTGGGTAATTATCCAAGCTCAAGACTTAGGTCAATATTGCATAGTTTAGAATAAGATAAATTAGATTAAGGCTAGCGCATACCGTCCTACGCTTCAAGCAGTCCCTTTTGCGAAATAACATAACTTTAATGTTTTTAGTTTTATATCTCCGTACTTGGATAAAGAAAACGCAAAGATTGTTTTATGAACTTTTTATTATCATAACTAAACAAATCTTATGTACAATGATATTCAATATCAACACCTGCGGCTTCGAACAAAAGAATCTAATTGAATCATTTGTCTTGCACTTCAGGATTTTGAGTCATAACAAGAGGTTTTAGCGTATTTGATTTTAAAGAAAGTGTATGCATTAAATTACAGTCTTCGCAACGATAAAACATTTGTTTTGTATTTTTGGCACTAATAACAAAAGGATGTGCGCAAACGTCACACACGACTAATTCGTTTTGAGAACTGTGATACGCTTCGTGCCAACAGCAATTCGGGCATTGTGCCACTGATATCTTGAAAAACGATTTGGATTCTTGACAAGCGTGACACTCTCTTTCTTCTTCATCTTCTTCGTCCTCACTCTCCGATTCTGAGTCCACGCTGTCATGTCCCTCTTGGGATTCTTCAGCATCATTGTCACTTTCAGTTTCACTATTGCTAACATCCGTATCATAGTTATCTTCTGGTTGCCTGGCAATCAGATCTATCAATACTATTTTGTTGCGAATAAGATTCTTGTCCAAATCAAGCCCTGCTAATCCACTGGTAAAAGTCTTGAGCCCTCTTGGGACGTTCACTTCTGGGTTGTAAGGTAGCAAAGCATACTCGATTAATTCTTTCATGTTGGCTAGTGGAATTCTACGTTGATGATGAGTCATTTCTCCATGGGAATTTCAATACAAAATATCTTTGGATGCTACCATGCTATGAAGTAAATCGTGTGCCTTTTGTCGCGGTATGCTTTTAGGGAGCTGTCGTGCCATTCGATTGATTTCATTCTCATCCGATTTCGAAAATTGCTCCTCGTCGCTAGAGGAATCTTCGCTCAGCTCGGATTCTGTAGATTCTTCTTCTGAAACTCTTCTTCTTTTCATGATGACCTCTACTAGTAAAATGAAGTTCTTGGGATTTGGCTGGGTTTTTTATAGCAGTAAAAGACTCAGAGCGCTCATTAGAGGAGGCAAGACCTCCCCCACCAAGCCCTCGCCTTTTTGAATCAGAATTTTTTTCTTGTCTTTAAATGGTATTGATCCATGAGCTAACTCTCTTATATCATCCTTGTGCGGTCTCACTCTTTCCTTTCGCCCTTCTGAAATGGGAATTGTTCCTTGTAATAAATTATGACATACTTCACAAATTACATGAACTTGTTCGGGAGTGGCTGTTGCAAGCAAAACTTTCCTTTGATGTTCTGGGCATTTAGTCAAAAGATGTAAATAGCCAAAGTCATCACGAAGTAAGACAGACATGTTTTCTCTCGGGATGGTTTGTTCAAATGAAGTGATAATGGAAAGAACAATCGTATTTATTATACAACTGGCTGCTTAGTACTAGACTCTACTACTAGATTCTACTACTAGATTCTACACTAGATTCTACACTAGATTCTACACTAGATTCTACTACTAGATTCTACTACTAGATTCTACTACTATAGATTCTCCTACTAGATTCTCCTACTAGATTCTACTACTAGATTCTACTACTAGATTCTACACTAGATTCTACACTAGATTCTACACTAGA